ATGGCAAGGTTGTCGGCGTAGAAGATGGAGTAGGCATAGGAGCAGAGGCGGGGCGCACCAACGCCTGAGGTATAGAATGTAGTGGATATTGAGGATGCTGCACCCCCGTAAAATTGGAGGTACAAAGATTCAGTTCGTTCGTGAGGTAACAACAGGGTCCCAGAGTCCAGGACGCAGAACGGAGCGCCGCTTTAAGCTTCAGAGTATATGTTCCTGTAGCTGTTCCTAGTTCCTACATAGGGACTGAAATAAAAAAAATAGGACATTATAATCAGAGCATTTATTTGATTGGAAACATGAGAAAAATTGTCGCGCGGCAGTAAGGCGCACCTTATGTTGCTTGAAGGTGGACTGGCCGAATTCCCAGCAGCTGCCTCAAATTATGTCGGTGACGTGGGTACATGCCGTGCTGCAGTCCAAGATGGCGAGGTCAAACATACGAGTCGGGACTACAGGTAGTAAACCACGTAGCTAGTGGGCAGGCCGATAAAAGAGACGATGTAGTTGGCATCAATTCAGGAAATGATATGGTTGCTTGCATCATTCTGATGTAGAGGCCCGATGTAATCCTCCTTTTCTAAAAAAATAAATTAGTTCACGAAACGATATCACACGTGAGCCCCATGGAGCGCTTCATGCCGGTGAGGAACAGGAGGGCTACCTGGTTCCGCGTGCAGGAAGAGCCTGGCAGTGGGCGACCGCGTCGTCGAGAGAGCGGAATGCCATGGCTTTGTGCGTAGGGGATTTCTTGTCTGGACATAGCATTTGCCGCTCCACTGAAAAGTAGATACATGGAAGGTTAGGCTCTTTGTAGCTAGCAGCAAAAAGAGAATTTGGTATACTGAAACAAAATCAAAGTATACGAAATCAATTATGTGAAAACTGGTATACTACTTCCGAGCATCGATCTGGGAATCCTGTATGCTTAACAGGGCAACATCAATTTAAGGTTCATGGTACATATTTGGATGAATGCTCCTCCCCCTTACGAAACCAAATAAAAGAACGAATAAATGACAAAAAACAATGATGATCGCCTGCGAAGTTAAGAAAAATAATTTTGTGCTACCTATCCATGAATTAATCACGATAATACCTTTGGATCATGACTTTCTTCGGGTTTGGCTTCCCTAGCAGGGAAGCGCAGAGCGACAACCGATAACAGAAAACCTGGCGATTACAGCAAGTTCACAAGTCAATATGGTGGAAACCACAAAAGGCGCCGTATGGAATAGAGGATTGCCACTTTTGACGGACAGAACGGCCAACTAACCTTTTTGGAGTTGCCGCTTCAGAAAATCTTCCATTGCAAGTATTATTTTGATGGAACATCTATTCTAAGTCCTGAATTGCCAACTGAAAGACCTCTTTGCAATTGTTCCACAGAATTTGAGTAATTGCTCTGCGTGAGATAACTGCAGAATTAGAGATATCGAAATCTACCAAAAGGCATCAAAGCATATGAAATCAATATGTCAAAACTTATATGTTCCGGCATATGTCCGTAAGTCCTCGACAGAATAGGATACCATGTCTTAAGTTTCAGAATACATGTTTGGCAGCGACGTGCGGACATCCATGACACGACCAAAGCTGGCCACTTAATGTATCCGGAGGATGCAATGCACGTGGTTGTGCCACCACTCGTCGTGCCTTTGGCAGGCACACAGCACGTGGTTGCGAAGTTGTAGTGGGCACATACAAGCCGCAGCCACTCCACTATAAAGTACAGAGAGAAGAGGTTAGCCTATTATCTAGCAATAGAATGTTCCAATTGATTCGTTGGTTAACTGCAGAATACATTGTACTACTCCATCAATAGGCTTGGCAAACTAGAGAAGACGCAGATTCTGGCACCTATCATCCAAAGTAGTCATGATAGTCATAAACCATGAGTCCATGAGTCCCTCCATGTTTGGGTTCCCCAACAATGAACGAAATATGAAGAGAACCTGAACGACTGAACCAAGTTCGCACAAGTCAGAATGACCCAGCCACATTGGTCTAACTCTTCTGACCGAAAGAATGACTAACTCACCTTTGTGGAATTGTGGTTGATTATTCATCACGTGAAAGACGAGCTGAAATTGGCCAGTGATGGCGCGCCCGAACAAGTTGGCCAATGCTCCAGGGAAGTTACGTACAGAACCTGCAATGTTCCCATGATGCTAAGTCTAGTACGGTATTCCGCACCGGAAGAAAACATTACAACTGTCTAGTAAGGTGCATGTAGCGATTAGAGTTTCGTACCCCCTTTCTTGCATGACTAACGACAAATAGGGAACACAGAAGAATAGTGCCATCACGATGGTGATGGGGCCAATCATGACACAATAATCCCGTATCTCGTAATTATAATTGATAGCCATGCACACACCTGGGATGTTCCTGAGATTATGTAAAACATAAAGGACTATTATTTTGTGAATGTAAAAGCTTGCAACATTAGAAGGGTAAAAAATCTACTAACATAGTGTTGTTAATTTCATTCCACATAGGGCACAGTTTGTAGAATCCATAGCTGCTGCATCTAAGGTCACATGCCGATTCTTCATATCTGCTTCTACTTCTGAAATAGAAGATCACACAATTTGTTGCCTTTAATATTTCACGTAGGAAAATGTGGCTTGATGTGTTCCAGCAAAAGCAGAACACACTGTTGTTACAAGCAAACTATGGCACTTCAAAATAAGAGCACTGGGAGTGGAATCATGAATTAAGGAGCAGAAGTTTATTACCATTTTCTAACCAGTAGATTGATGGTCCCTTTCTGATGGGCCTCTCTGCTCTCCTTGGGCACCTCTGGAAGGCGCAAAACTACCTCGTCTTCCGGCATGACTTGAATGTATGACCGTACTATACAGTGGGTTGTACAGTTCTGGAAGGACTCATAACTTACTCTGCTGCAGGAAGGACTCACACTGTAATTGAAATGAGTAACCAGTCAGTTTTCAGAGGCTAGGCATACGAGGAGGCATCAGCTCAATCAGAAAAAGCGGAAGCTGAATGTAACATACCATCTACTATTGTTGAGAAGTATGGGTCTGTTCGTTGCAACTTCTTCATGGTCTCTTTTAGCTCAGGACCGCAATCCATTGCATATAGGCTCTCCAGTGAAGCGGGCAGGTCCTCCTTGGGTGGCAGCGATTGAATTGCACACTCAGAGAACCTCAATTCCGTGAGAGAAGAAAGGCGATTACACCTTGGGAGGGACTTCAGATCACGGCATTCATTAAACATCAGAAATTCGAGGGAGGTAAGGAACTGAAGCGCCTGCTCTTGCCCTTCCGTGAAGGACTCCGCTCGCATATCATGACTGAATATTAATGAACGGAGGGTTGAAGTAAGGTGGCTGCAAATGGGAGCAATAAGCACTCCCGAGATGCTATCCACCCTCAGTTCTTCCAATTTGAATGATCCTTCCTGCATTAATCCACTCCTTGCTACCTCTGACAACAAATCCCCTGCTATTGAGATCTTCTGTTTGGCTGAAGTCTGGTTGAAGACATACAGTTTCTTGAGGTTGACTGTGATGAGAGGATTGAATCCATCCATTGTTAATTCTTCACAATCTTGCAGCCATACACTGGTGAGGGATGTGAGGTTGGAGAGTAGGGCCATTGACTTAAAGCCAGAGACCTCGCGAATCTCAAGTTCCTTGATGGAAGATGGGAAAGGTTTGATGGTGTTACCGCTTCCCATGGACTCCTGAGACAACACTGACGATGCAGAAAGCTCCAGGATTTCACATTTGATGATTCTAAGCTTGGAAAGAGCTGGAAAACACCTAAACACCATTGAAAGCACTACCTCTGTAATACTTAATTCTGCTAGGCCAAGCTCCTGGACTGAATGCAGGGCAACACTAGCATCCAGTTCTGGAGAGAACATGCTTCCGTATTTGCTGACATGTACACTTCTCAGTGAGTTTAGCTTCTTGAGGTCTAACACCGAAATTTTTGATACATCCAAAATACTCAGGCTCTCTATTTTATCCATATTGTGGAAAGCCAACTCACCATTATACCCTTCAATACACAAAAATTTCTCACAATATCTCAGTTCTGTCCACATTATTGACTGGCCATTTAACACAGTAATTTCTTCCAGCGTGGAGGTGTGAGGCATGGGGGGGAGCTGAGAAATCTTGGGGCAGTAAACAATAACAAGGCTAAGCAAGTTGGTAAAACGCTCAGAGCACTCCATGAAGGGAAACCTTGAGAGCAAGGGGCAATCTCTAAATCCAATACTTTCAAGCCTTGAAAAGAAATGGCTATTAGGTTCACCGACCCACTCCACAAGTTCCCTCATGTTCTCAAACTCAATTTTCTTCAAATTCATGAAACTTTTATCTGTAATACCATTAAAGAGAGGCCCGAAGACACTCATCCTAGCAATATTACTCAGAACGAGGTTGGAGAGGTGTGGTAGATGCTCAAAAGGTGGAAGAGTACCCCAAGATATACCCTCTAGATGGAGAGACTCCAAGTGTTTTGTGCTAATGTCACCACACAACCATCTAGGGCAAGGGGCAACACCAGGATTTATAATGCAAAGCACCCTAAGATTAGGGTGTGGTTGAAGACCGTCAAGAACATGATCATCTGCAGTCTGATGCTCAGTACTCCAAACTAATTGCAGCTCTTTCAAATTCTTTTTGTTCTTCAGTTCGGCAGCACAAGCTTCTCCTTTGGAAGCCACAGCTTCAAGATTGCATAAGCGGAGTACTCCTCTGAGCTCACTCAACCCCCCTAGCTCTCTCAATTCAAATCCAGTACTCTCTTTCTTAACATGGAACTTTTTCAGCTCATGTAAATACTTCATCTTTCCAACCTCGGGAATATTGGAATGGAGTTCTTCGTAAGGATTACAATGAAAAAAGTGTAAATTAACAAGGCGGCTAATGTGTTTAGGCAACTTTTTACTACCATCCCAATCTTTGAGGTCCAGGAATTTCAAGTGGTAAAATCCAGATAAGGTGCTAGGTAAATCCATTTCAGGATCATCGCATGAACTGAGTTTAAGGTACCGGAGGTGCAAAAGGTTTGGAAAGTTGTGTGGCAAAGATTTTGGATTTTGCATTGCTACATATAGAACTCGGACAGCCTTTAAATCTTCAAATGTATCCTTTAAAATATTCGCTACTATTTCATCACGTAATTCGAAAATCAGCAACGAACGCAAATTTGCAATGTCTATCATGTGCTTAAGTTTACCCATTTCTTCCTGAAAACTTTCATCATATTTACGTTGTAAGTTGATTGACAAGTGTCGAATAGATGGTGGGACGTCAGCAACACTAAATGGGAAACTACTTATATTTGCACATTCTTGATATGAAACATTCCGAGATAGTTCATGCAATAAATCATGCATCACATAGAATTCCCTATACGGATTAACAACCTTTTTGAGAAAACCATTCTCTAGTAGTTCTTCGAAGTAATTTTTAGTTTCTTGATCATTAATATCTAGGATACCTATGGCAGTCCAAAACTGAGTCATTTCTAAACGAGTAAACTCATAATCTTCACAAAAGAGGGAAAAATACGAAAAACATTTTTTCAGATGAAAAGGTAAGTAATCATAGCTAATTTTTAGAGATGGCATAATATCGTCCTTATCTTTTGCATTTTTCCACTCATCCTTTTCAAGAACTCCTATCCAATATTCCCGATTAAAGTGTTTCCTTAATAACCGACCAACCGTATTGGCTGCTAGTGGTGAACCCTTTAGCTTCTTTGCAATTTCTCTTGCAACATCAATTAAGTCATCATCATAGTTCCCGGGTTTGTTATGACTAGCAAATATAGATGCTTCAAATAATTCCAAGAAGTCATTAGGCTCCAAACCATCCAGTTCTACTATATCTGTTGTGCACACTTTTTGTGCTATAGATGGAAACCGGGTTGTGACGAGAACCATGCTACCCTTGGTTTCCCCCTTTGTGAATGGGGCCAATAATTTCTTCCACTCGGTTTCACTATTGATACTCCATATATCATCTAGGACAACTAAAAATCTTTTGGACTTCAGTTCATCTGCAATCGATTTCTGAAGCTTGTCCAAATTGGAGGTTTCATCTTTTTTTCCATTTTCACATATGCAACTCAGGACTTCCTGGGTGAGCTTAAGCACATCAAAATCATTTGAAACACATACCCAGACCCTAACAATGAAGTGTTCTTCAATCCTTTTATCATTACTCAAGTGTTGGGTGAAAGTTGTCTTTCCTATACCCCCAGGGCCGACAAAAGGCATAACAGAAAGTGTTTCACTCTGATATCTGCTACCAGTGAGTGCACTTATGGTTTTCTCAAAGGTGGCATCCCTCCCATACAACCTATCTGGTGGAGCCACTGAGCTCGTGAGAGGCCTTTTTACGGTGGTAGATGTGGTATGGTTTGGGATTTTATTCAGCAGGTCAGAGACCGGATCACATAGATCGTGTATTCCCTCTATCACTGACGTGATTTTTTTGGACATGTCCACTCTATTGAATTTCAGCTTTGCAACATAGCCACCATCATAATTACCGCAATCAGACTTGGTTGCATTGTGATGGTTGCTGATGGTAACAACACTAGCAGCAGCAGAAACATCATCTTGTGTAGGTGAGCAAGAAAAGCATGAGAGCCAGTTACCGAATGTGTGCCGAGCAGCATGGCGAGAATGGAGAGCACGAGCACGGAGGCCATCACCAGGCTCCGGCATGGCCTCCTTGGTGCCATCGAGATGATCCTGGATCAGGAAGTAGTGCAGCTCATCCAGCGCGTCCTCAGCCTCATCGGCCTTCTTGCTCAGCTGCTCCAGCAAGCTCTTCAGGCCAGGGTTCCTGCTCACGTCCCTCTCTTGGGCCGCTTGCAGCAGCCCTTTCACGTGCTCCAGCTGGAATTTGACCCTCTCGGAGTTGTGGCCGAGCTTGGTGCTGGCCAAATACGCGGCCACCAAGTCGTCGGACAGCTTGTCCAACACCTTGCCGACGAGCCAGTTGGCAGCACCGATAGCCGTCTCCATCTCCTCCGACGGCCGGGGTGGTCCCGAACGCCGGCCGGCTAGGCCTAGCTAGCTAGTTGGTGTGTGTGGTGGGAGAAAGTTTTGGGTAGAAAGGTAGAAATGTGAGCGCGTCTTGGACGAGGCCTTGATGGCTTGTTTTATAGTTGCTCCACGGCCACAGGCATAGAGGAGAGTACTACTAGCATCCAACGCAATAAAAGATTCGAGTTTTGGGGGTTGTGCAGTGCAAGATCCAGATTGGGTTGCCTCTTGAACTGTTGGAAAGGCCACCTCCAAGCTCGCAAGGAGGATCCAAGAAGACGTCGTAGTACATGATCGATGTCATAGCTCAGTTACATGGGGATCGACCTGAAGTTTCAGAAACGCAAATGCTACCGTTACATGCATATGTATTCAGCGTAACTTTCACACCAAAGAAGTACTCCCTCCGTTCCAAAATAGATGACTCAATTTTGTATTAAAGTTAGTACAAAGTTGAGTCATCTATTCCGTAACGGAGGGAGTATAACATCATATGAACTTTTTTTGTGCTTGTGCAAAAGAAGCACTCTTCCCGTTCTAAAATAAGTGTCTCGACATTAGTATAATTTTACACTAAAACTCAAAGTTGAGACACTTATTTTGGTACGGAGGGAGTGTAACACAATGCTACCATCCTAAGCGTCGCACCGGATGATAGGCTAGAGCTCACATGGGGCGGGGTTGGAGCTGCAGGTCGATCGTTGAGGCCATGTGAAGGTGGCGGTGATCCATGCCAGTTAATTCCTCCGTCCGGCCGGTTGCTCATCAGCGCAGGGAGGAATCATGCATACACCGTCTTTGTTTCCTTAAAAATTGTTGGTTGATCCGAACATGGCGGAGTGGCCAGCGCATACGATCGTCCAATTGATTTTATTGCCTTACTATATTCGTGCACATAGATCTGTACCAGATGCAATCTGGGTTGGCATCATACATATACATACAAAATTAATAAGAAAGCGCAGATACCTAAGCTGCCACAACATGGACTCTTATGATATGGGGACGCAAGCAGGCAACCACATGGCCATGCACATGCAGGCGCCACGCAAATTAATAAGCAAGCAGTATGAAATTTCCTATGCTAAAGGTTAGGACTTAGGGTTTTTTAGGAGTTTTTTAGGAGTTTCCAGTTAGGACTTAGGGTTTTTTTTTTCAAAAAAAGAAGAAGAGAGGAAACGATTCTTCGTAAAAGGACTTGTGTGAAATACCCACATAAGAGTTCAAACTTTCATATCCTACATGGTCATCTAGCTAGCCTCTACTCGCACTGCCCATCGATTCCTCGTTGACCACGCTAGTCCCAACCCTCGGCACACCGTCGTCAGAGAAGCTCACTATGCAAGGAATTTATATCCTCTGGCAGGCTTAGATGCTGCATGATGTGTGTCACACAGACGACATGCATCCTCGATGGCACAGACGCCCGCACCGGCCCAAAAGGTGACCATCACGCAGGACGGCATCACAACAGACACGGTGATGAACCCATCATATGGCAACTAGTTCATGAAAGGATCAACATGTTTTCAGCTACCTGCCCAACCTGAATTCACTCTCCAAGGAGGTCCTCACACAAATCGTGGGCTTGTAGCATGTTGTTGACGTCTGGACCGCAATGGGATGATATTTCATTGTAGCCATAGTCTTAGATTACAAATCTGAGGAGCCCCTTTGATAATACAAAGAATGGCGTCTGACAGTGTCCTGGACTAAGGAGCGCTAACGTAGTCGGAACATACTATGTTCCTCGGTATGGGCTAGTGGGCCTTATTCTTCCTAAGATGGACTCCGGAAGTTGCACGCTGGAGGAGTAATCGAGGTTGCCTCTGTCGAAGACTTGCCGGGCTTCTCCTGCCGCCTCCACGCCTAGATACCAACTTTGTAACCCTAGATCCCCTAGCCGACGTGTATATAATCCGGAGGGTTTAGCCCGTAGAAGGGACTTCAACACATTCGTGTTCACCTAGCCCTAGGGTTAGAACACATCTGAAGATCTCGAGTTAGATCAACTCTGTAGTTGATACATCTCCATCAATATACACAAGAGCAGGACGTAGGGTTTTACCTTCATCAAGATGGTCCGAACCTAGGTAAAACATCATCTCTCTGTTCCTGTTACCATCTATCCGAGATCCACATCTCGGGACCCCCTACCCTGAGGTCTGTCGGTTTTTACACCGACACTGGTACTTCCATTGAGAGTTCCACTGTGAGATCAACAGAAGGATCGATGGCTCATCAGCAGGTCAACTGCGGCAACGGCAACGGGAATGTTTAGGTCCGCGGCCAACTTTTTGTGTACGGTAGCATGATCTTTGGCGTCGACTCGGCGAGTCATCTCGCGTCTGTGAAGAACTACGCCTCGGGTCAAATCGTTACCTTTGGATACCTGGAGTACAACACGGATTCCCGCGGCGAGCTCATCCTGTCGGGCTAGACGCCCGACCGAGTTGAAGATCTGTCAAGCACAGGAGCTCGACTCCGGAACCGATCTCCTTCGAGGACATCAGACAAGGCTCCTTGGCATCACCAGAGAACCCTGGCAAGACTCCGAGCGATCTCGCCCCGACCCCTGGATTGGATTCTAGTCCGACCCTATCTCTGCAACTACGTCGGATTTAGAGCCAACCTTGGTGCAGGATCTGGAATCGCTCCCGGATGCTCTGCACGCCAAAAACGTGCCGAGCTACACGCCGGGTGTACTTTGAGTCATCCCCGCCTGCAGCCAGGCTATGAACCCCGCAGAGCTATTTGACTTGAACGATATGCTTGAACGAATCCAGAGTATGTCAATCTCGGACGGCAAGACTTCGGTTTACGATAAGATTGGAATTAAAGACGACGACCGGGAAAATTACACCCCACCCACCACCCACTTAGTCACCACGATTGATGATTTAACCGGCGTGCTACACTACGACGAGGCCACGAACATGGAAGAAGATGTCGATGGCCCAACATAGAACACTTTGCCATTAGTAATACTGGCAAGTGGACCGCAACATACAATGTATACATGGTCGACACCCGAAACTCCCCTCCATGACGTCGGCGTAGACGCTAAAGGGGCATCAAAGTGGAACCTAGCGGCAACAATGCCACCGCATATAACGGCAATGCGACAGCCGGCGATGCAAATAACCCTGGAGAAGACCTTCCAACCTTCCCAGTGCGGCACTTAATGCCCTCGATCGAGCAAATTAATGAAGAACGCAGGCACTCGAGCCTTGGGTTTTATAATCTATACCTACTAATAAAAGAAATAGGTATTCTTAGTCCATCATGCTATTTTATAGAAAACGCCCTGATTTTTCTGCCATTAAACTCGCAGTAGATATCAAATGTTTTTTAAAATACTCATATCTTCTAAACCGTAACTTTAAATTTAACATGTTAAATATGAATTTTGATTAGAAAAATATGTAGAATTTGAATATGATATTATTTTACCTGTTAACAATTTAAAAAATACTATCTAGGGTGCAATCTTAATCAATAATGCATTATTCGTCTGTTTTTGTCGTTTTTCTTTACCGGCTTGTAATAATACCTCATTTTACACATGACATGAATAAATGCATGATCACTTGCCTGTTTCTTTGTACGGATTAAATCTATATGCTGGCCGCGTTGAAATAGAATACCTGTGGAATCTTGAACCGTGCTTTTTTAGGCTAAGACCATCTTTGTTTGGACCGTAGCTACAAATTCTCACATTATAGACCATTTTTGTAAATTAAGAGCATGTGGTATTTTTTTCCTCCCGTTACAACACACGTGCCTTTTTGCTAGTAAAGAAGAAAAGAAAATAAGCACCCGATTAATTCCTCCGTCCGGTTGCTCATCAGCGCAGGGAGGAATCATGCATACATCGTCTTTGTTTCCTTAAACTTTGTTGGTTGATCCGAACATGGTGGAGTCCGGAGTGGCCAGCACATACGATCGTCCACTTGATTTTATTGCCTTATTATATTCCTGCACACAGATCTGTACCAGGTGCAGTCTGGGTTGGCATCATACATATACATACAAAATTACGGAAATGTTAATGCCCACACGTGTGGGCGTTGACCATCTTGACCACACGCATTCATCATCGTCCAGTATTATATGCACGAATCTTGGCATAATCTGGCTGATTTTCTGTGCCACATAGGACAAGGCGTGTGTGTGGTGTGTGACATAGTTCGTCCACACATCCGTTTTACACACGTAGCGGTCGGTGTGTGGGCGTTTAGCAGTTCACCCACACACCAGTTTTCAGTCACGCACAAGGGCTGGTGTGTGGGCGTTTGCCATCTCGCCCACACGTCCGCCTCCTCTCCCACACCCAAGCTGTCAGTTGCCATGCGTTTTGCAGTGTACATGGCAACTGCCTTAGTGTGATTGCAAGCAAATGGCAACTCTCTTTTTTTTTACCCGAACATGTCAGTTGCCATATGTTTTGCATGGTACATGGCAAACTGCCCTAGCGTGCACGTAAGCAGATGGCAACTCTTTCTTTTTACATGGCAACTGCCCTAACGTGCTTGTGAGCACATGGCAACTCTCTCTTTTACCCAAACATGTTTTTTTGCCATGCTATTTTTTCAGTGCTACATGGCAATTGCCTAGTGTTAGTAGGTGGCAACTCCTAAAGTTTTGAAATCATGGCAACTGCAGTAGACCAGACCACACATGGCAACAGCTGTAGTTGTCCCAAAAATGGCAATCTGGAACTTTGACCTGAGATGGCAACTGCCTAGTGTTAGTAGGTGGCAACTCCTAAAGTTTTGAAATCATGGCAACAGCAGTAGACCAGACCACACATGACAACAGCTGTAGTTGTCCAAAAAATGGCAATTTGGAACTTTGACCTGAGATGGCAACTGCAGTTGAGCAGACATGGCAACTGTAGTTGTCCGACATGGCAACCGTAGTTCAGCGACATGGCAACTGCACTTAAACGAACATAGACGAGGGTCCGTCCCATGGCA